TGTGCTTTAGAAGCACGCCTCAACCCTAAACCCTAAACCCTAAACCCTAAACCCTTATCAGTGAGGCCGCCAATCAAACTTTCAAACCCTTACCGTACACGGTAAACTCTAAACCCTAAACCCTAAACCCTAAACCCTAAACCCTAAACCCTAAACCCTAAACCCTAAACCCTAATAAACCCTAAACCCTAAACCCTAAACCCTAAACCCTAAACCCTAGAGCACCTTGAAGCGGGGCAAACCGAGAACGCCAGCCCCAATTCAACAAAACCCTAAACCCTAAACCCTAAACCCTAAACCCTAAACCCTAAACCCTAAACCCTAAACCCGAAAGCCTAAACCGTACAAAACCCTAAACCCTAAACCCTAAACCCTAAACCCTAAACCCTAAACCCTAAACCCTAAACCCTAAACCGCAAACCCTAAACCCTAAACCCTAAACCCTAAACCCTAAACCCTAAACCCTAAACCCTAAGCTGACCACTGCTTACGGGCAAATGAGTGCCTTTACACGCCCGTTGCAAACCTTTGTAGATCTCTGCAGCCATCGCCGGATTTGCCCAGACAGCTTGCTGCCTGCAGCCGCACTCCAAGCCCTAAACCCTAAACCCTAAACCCTAAACCCTAAACCCTGGACCCAAAACCTCAAACGCGAAACCGTAAACACTAGACAGTATGGTCTAGGGCCTCAACGCCAAATCACAAGAAAACGAGACCCATTTAGAAAAAGAAACCCGAGTCGAGGGTTTAGGGTTTAGGGTTTAGGGTTTGGGAGGTAGGGTTTAGGGTTTAGGGTTTAGGGTTTAGGGTTCGAGCCTTACTGTCAGCATCATACCAGGTTCCAGCATGAGTAGCTCTCCTCTGCCTCTGGCGGCCTTGCGCAGCCTCCATAGCCGCAAACTAGGGTTTACGCTAGGGTTTAGGGTTTGGGGTTTAGGGTTTAGGGTTTAGGGTTAAGGGTTTAGGGTTTCGCAATGTGTAATTCCGTGAAGTGGCTAAATTTGACTAGCTGCCCGAGAAGTCTTCCTCCTTCCCTCTAACAAGATGATTTCGTTTTCTAGCGCCCTGCGTTTAGGGTTTAGGGTTTAGGGTTTAGGGTTTAGGGTTTAGGGCTTCGCTGGGGACCCGCAACAATCTAGGGTTTGCTGTTTGGCAGCTAAAGTGCCATTTGAGGACTCAAGAGAGCTGGAAGCTGCAGCGGGGGTATTCTAGTCTTGAGTTTCGGGTGTATGTACACCTGAAAACAAAGCAGTTCTCCGGAAATCGGCAACAAAAAGGGGCCTTATGAGGGTTTGTTTTGCAGGAAATGAGTCAATTAAGACAAAAATGAGCCCAAAAAGAGGAGAAGCATGCAAAAGCAGCAGCAGCAGCAGCAGCAGCTGCTGCTGCTGCTGCTGCTGCTGTTGAAACACCTGTCGGAGGCTCTCGCGCAGTGTCTTTCGGCGTTCGGCTTGAAAAAAACCCTTTTTTGGGGTTTTGTTCCACTTTTTATTTTCATTTAAATTTATTTATTTATTTTTAATTTACTTTTATTCATTTTTATTCATTTTCATTTCATTTCGTTTCGAAATAGAACCCAAAACCGCCGCAAACCACAGACTCAACCGCCGCTGAGACGCCCTGCACACGGCCCTAAACCCTAAACCCTAAGCCCTAAACCCTAAACCCTAAACCCTAGACAGAAACTGAACCCCCTAAGCCCTATCTCCAGCAGAAAAGACAGACACTAAACCCTAGACCCCAAAGACGAGGCGGAAGCGCGAAGACCTAAACCCTAAACCCCCAGCTGTGAAAGCCCTATATGACTCCAAACCCCAAAACCCTAAACCCTAAACCCTAAACCCTAAAGGGACACCGTCGAACAGCTCCTGCTCTCTGCAAACCCTAGCTTTTGGCCCCAACGCTAAAACCCTAGCCTCGAGTCTCAAACCCTGAACAGCAAGATTGAGGCCCCAGACTCTAAACCCTAAGCCTAAACCCTAAACCCTAAACCCTAAACCCTAAACCCTAAACCCTTCGCCCGCAAAGCCCAAAACACCTTCGCACAGAGTTTCTGCACGGTTCTGCGTGCAGCAAAAAAGCGCGGAGATACTAAACCGGTGACTGGCTAGCTAGCCAGCCAGCTAGCTAGTTAGCCAGATAGCTAGCTAGCCAGATATCTAGCTAGCCCGCTAGCTAGCTAGCCAACTGGCTAGCTAGCCAGACAGCTAGCTAGCCAGCTAGCTAGCTAGTTTTCAGTTCGCCGGGCAGCTAGCCGGCAGAACGCCCAGCTAGCCACCCCAAAGTCGTGCGGGCAGAGCTCCTCCCCGCACAGCTAGCTGGCTAGCCAGCTAGCTAGCCAGCTAGCTAGCTGGGCAGCTAGCTAGCTAGCTAGCTAGTTAGCTGGCTAGCTAGCTAGCCAGTTCGCTAGCTAGCTATCCATTTGAAGCCCCAGCACCTTACTCAACGCACGGCCGAGAGGCCGCTGACCTGGCTAGCTGGCCACCCCGCTAGCCAGCCAGCTAGCTAGCTAGCTAGCCAGCTAGCTGGCTAGCTAGCTGGCTAGCTAGCTGGCTAGCTAGCTAGCAAGCGTATTAGCTAGCTAGCTAGCTAGCTAGCTGCGCCCCTGCGGCGCCTGCAGCCAGCGTTGCAGCCGAAGCTGAGTACCGTAGTGAGCCCCGCAGCTTTCAGCTGCTGCTCGCTACCCGAGCAGCCCTAAACCCTAAACCCTAAACCCTAAACCCTAAACCCTAAACCCTAAACCCTAAACCCTACATGCCGATTTCATGGGGGTGTAGGAATTCGTCTTGGCTCTCTTCGGATGAAGTTTCCTCTTCTTCATCTTCATAGCTGTAAATGTAGCGGGGGCCCCTTCGTGCTGCAGCTAGCTGCAGTGCTGCTGGGAACGTGCTGCTGCTGCTGCTGCTGCTGCTGCTGCTGCTGCTGCTGTCGAGGTGGTAGGCAGCCAGCAGCAAAACAGCAGCAAAGACAACCCCGAGGCCCCCAGCAAACCACAGCAAACTGGCTTGCTGCAGAGGGTTTGGAGGGGCCCCATTTGGGTCTTGGGGGCCCCCCTGGGGGGCCCCCCGGGGGGCCCCCCCCAGCAGCAGCAGCACCCCCAGCAGCAGCAGCAGCACGGCGCGGGGGCCCCGCTGCTGCTGCCCCTGGGGGGCCCCCAAGCGCCTCTTCCGCAGCGACAGCAGCAGCTCCAAAAGGCCCGAGAAGCAAAGAGCAGCAGCAGCAGCAAAAGCAAACACAAACCCTAAACCCTCGGTGGTTTGGGGGAGGCCCCCTGCCTGGCTGAGGGCCCCGTCGAGCTGCTGCAGCGGCGCTGCAGCAGCAGCAGCAAGGGCCCCCCAGGGGCCCCCCTGCTGCTGCGCCTCTTTGCTGCAGCACGAGACCCACAGCAGCAGCCCCAGCCCCAGGCTGAGGCCCACCAGCCACGACTTGAGGCCCCTCAGGGGGGCCCCCCTGGGGGGCCCCCCCAGGGGGCCCCACTGGGGGGCCCCCAGGGGGGCCCCCTGGGGGCCCCACAGGGGGGCCCCCAGGGGGGCCCCCAGTACAACAACCCCACCTTTTCTGCTCCTCACGGAGCTCGAAAAGCCCCTGCGGCGGGGCCCCACACTGCGGGCCAGGGGGGCCCCCCGGGGGGCCCCCAGGGCCCCGTAGCGGGAGGGTCGGGGGGCCCCCCAGGGGCCCCCAGTGTAGCTCCTCGCGCGCCGGAAGGGGGGCCCCCTAGGGGGGCCCCTCCTGCTGCTGCGGTACCCTCTGCAGCTCCTGCAGCTGCGCACGCTGCGCGGGGGGGCCCCCAGCCGGGTACTCTTCCGGGGGCCCCCGTGGGGGCCCCCGGGGGGCCCCCCGGGGGGCCCCCCGGAAGGTTCTGGAGGGGAAGGGTACATAATAGCTGCTCTTTGAGCGGCGGGGTTGAGGGCTTAGAGAAAGGAGAGAATTTGCTGCTGAGTTTGAGCCATTTGCTGCAGGGTTTGCTGCTGTTGGAGTTGGAAGTGCTGCTGCTGCTGCTGCTGCTGCTGCTGCTGCTGCTGCTGCTGCTGGTTCTTCGGCCGCTGCAACCAGCGGCAAGGAATCCACGCCGACTTCCGCTGCTGCTGCTGCTGCTGCTGCTGCTGGCGCTGCTGCTGCTGCTGCTGCTGCTGCACTAGCAGCAGCACCGTCAGAGGCCCACTCAAGGTCCACTACGTCCTCTGTGAAGAACCCCGGATCTGCTGCTGCTGCTGCTGCTGCTGCTGCTGCTGCTGCTGCTGATTCATCGCGAAGCTGCTGCAGCAAAGGCAAGAGAAAAAAAAAGAAAGGCCGCCCCATCACGGGGGGCTGCGAGCAGCATGAGCCGCGGTTTAGGGTTTAGGGTTTAGGGTTTAGGGTTTGGGAAAATCCCACTAGGGCTTCGGCGGTCACTCCTGAACCCTAAACCCTAAACCCTAAACCCTAGTTCCACGCCCCAGCCCTTCGAAGTTTCCATGCATCCGCCTCCCTTCTTAATAATCAACTTTTTAGAGGCTAGGGTTTAGGGTTTAGGGTTTAGGGTTTAGGGTTTAAGCTGTGGGGTTTACGACCTGTCGAGCCCTTGTCCTGCAAACGCTCCCCTAAACCCTAAACCCTAAACCCTAGTTCTTTGCTTGGCATTTAGATTTTATTAGCTGCTTGAAATTCAAAGTTTAATTTCACAATTTCGTGAAGTCCTTTAGGGTTTAGGGTTTAGGGTTTCGGGCCTAGGGTTTAGGGTTTAGGGCTTTGGCCCTGAGCGCCGGTCTCGGGCTCAGGATCTGGCTTGAGGGGTTTGCCTGCTGCACTCGAGGGTTTAGGGTTTAGGGTTTAGGGTTTACTCTATTTGTGTTTTGTATACTTTTTTAAGACTTGGGCTTTAGAATATCATGTCTGAGGCACAGGGTTTAGGGTTTAGGGTTTAGGGTTTAGGGTTTAGGGTCTAGGGTCTAGGGCCTAGGGTTCAGGGCCTAGGGTTTAGGGCAATTAATGGTTAATGGTTGAGGCTTAGGACCTTTATTGTGTAAGATTTAGATTTTGGGGCAATAATTTAGGGTTTAGTGTTTAGGGGTTTGGGATTTAGGGTTTAGGGTTTAGGGTTTAGGGTTTACATTGGCCACCTCTGCCAGGGTGCGGCTCAGCAAAGGGCGATCAAGTCTCTGGAGGTCCTCATTCAAAAAAGCAAGGAAAAAGCTTTAAAAATTAGGGTTTAGGGTTTAGATCTCAGGGTTTAGGGTTTAGGGTTTAGGGTGTAGGGTTTAGGGTTTAGGGTTTAGTGTTTGCAGGCTCCCGCCCGCCAGCGACTCTAGTGAGCGCTGACCAACTGCAACACTAAAAAAGAAATTAAACCAACAGCAAATAAATAAATAAATAATAAATAAATAAATAAATAAATAATAAATAATAAATAATAAATAATAAATAATAAATAATAAATAAATAAATAAATAAATAAATAAATAATAAAAAGGTATTCTTCAGTTACTGTGGCGAGAGGCCGGCCCCCACTTGGTAGTACGCAGTACTTTACCGCCTAGCTTTTAACTCTAAACCCTAAACCCTAAACCCTAAACCCTAAACCCTAAACCCTAAACCCTAAACCCTAAACCCCGGTACAACGGCGCAGATCTTGTGGTTAGTGCGCTTTTGTCCCGGTCCTTTTAGTCTTATTTTTCTGTCTTGCTCTGCTGCTGGCACTTCACGTAGCTAGCTAGCTAGTCAGCAACTTAGCTAGCTGGCTAGCTAGCTAGCTAGCTAGCTGGCTAGCTAGCTAGCCAGCTAGCTGGCCAGCTAGCCGGCTGGTAGCAAGTTCGCTTGGTGGCTCGGCAAATGGCTAAGCTGCTGAATCATCTGGCTAGCCATGTACGGATCCAGCTAGCTATCTAGCTAGCTAGCTAGCTAGCTATATATCTAGTTAGCTAGCTAGCTAACTGGCTAGCTAGCTAGCTAGCTGTGGCTAGCTGCGGCGGGCTCGGCAGAGCGGCCCCACAGGTCAGCTAGCCACAGCTAGCCAAGCTTGGCCGCAGCTATTTGCGGCCAGAAGTAGCTAGCTAGCTTCTGCTATGCGGAGCTGTCTGTGGCTAGCTGCGGCTAGCTGTGGCTAGCTGTGGCTAGCTGCGGCTCGCGGGCCGTGGCCTCGTGGCTGTGAGGTGTTGGCAGATTGCCGAAGGACCCAAAATTAAGATCAAAAAGGGATAAATAAAAAAGAATAAAAAAGAATAAAAAGAATAAAAAAGAATAAATGAATTGAATTCAAACTTGTGGTGGGCGCGTTGGCTTTCGCTGTTCAGGTGTCTGCGCAGGTCCCCGGCGCAGCCCTGGGGCTTTTTGCGTGCGACTGCATGCAACTGCGTCGAATAAATAGCTAAAAAGGCAAAAATAAAGTAAAAAAGAATAAATAATGAAATAATAAAAGCTTTTTGCGGAAGAACGAGGGCAATTGAGTTTGTTTTGCATTATTTCTGAGGTGTACGTACACCGCGAGCAGCGGGCCGCTCGCGCCGCCGGCGTTCTTCCTCTCTGCGCCCCCAAAAGGCCTTTCTTAGCTCTTTAAAAAGAATTAAAAGTTTAAAATATGAAATTAAATTAAAAATTTGAATTAATTGGCCCTTTTTTGCACTCTTTTCCGCCAAAAATATGATGCACCCGAACTCGCTCAACTTGCTGCAGACAAAATGCAAACAAGTCCTCGAGGCGCTGCTGCGGCCGCGCTACCTCGGTACGTACACCTGAATTAAAAAGAAAATATAATTAATTTAATTTATTTATTTATTTCATTTCATTTCATTTATTTTATTATTTCATTCTTTCTACTTATATATGTTTTCGCGTATCCATTAGTTGCTGCAGCTAACAAAAGCTCTTTTGTTTTCCCTTCTACTCACTTGCCTTTTCTTTCTCTTTTATTTTTTATTTTATTTTTATTTTATTTTAATTTTTTATTCTTTCTTTTATCTTTTCTTTTATTTTTTCTCTTTCTTTTTCTTTCAGTTTTTATTTTAGTTTCTGTTTTACTCTGTCTTTTATTTCTTTTTTTATTTTCTTTTTTTCTTTCAGTCTTCTTTTATTTCATTTCATTTTATCTTTTATTTTTTCTTTCTTATTTCCTTTTATATTTCCCTTTTTATTTTCTTTTATATTTTCTTCTACTTTTCATTTTATTTTTCCTTTTATTTTTTTTGCTCTTTGGAAACTCAAAAGTCCTATTCCAAACTTCGCTCTCTGTGCAGCGGCGGGCTTAGGGTTTAGGGTTTAGGGTTTAGGGATTAGGGTTTAGGGTTTAGGGTTTACTGTTTAGGGTTTAGGGTTTACAGCGTCTAGGCTTAGGGTTTAGGGCTTACAGCTTTCGTAGCTCGTCAATGTGCAGCCGCATGTTTCGCCCTTCAGAACTTAGGGTTTAGGGTTTAGGGTTTAGGGTTTAGGGTTTAGGGTTTGCGCAGCTTTAATCCCTAAGTGGATATCGAGGGCCTCGCCAGAGGAAATGCGTCGTCTTCATTTTGTCGGCAAAATTCTCTTTTCAAATAACCACCACGTCTTCCAGCCAGCCACTCCTTCGGTGACCCAAACCCTAAACCCTAAACCCTAAACCCTAAACCCTAAGCGCCAAACCCTAGAACCTAGACCCTAAACTTTGAACCCTGAACCCTAAAACCTAAACCCTAAACTGTAAGCGCCAAACCCTAGACCCTAAACCCTGAACCCTAAACCCTAAACCCTAAGCGCCAAACCGTAGACCCTAAACCCTGAACCCTAAACCCTAAACCCTACTTTCGAGCGCTGAAACCCAAATGCTGAACTCTAAATTGCCTTAGAATGCAGCAATTGAATGAAGTAAATATTTGATAATATATATTCAAACTTTTCATTTTTATTTAAAAAAATAAAAGTGAAAAGTTTGAAAAAAAAAGAAAGTCTTTTGCCTCCCTCGCTGGGGTCGCGAGGTGTCCATACACCTGAGCAGCGCAAGCAACGAAAGAAGAAAATAAAAAAAGAAAAAACAAAAACAGAAAGTAAATTAAATTCAAAATTAAATTAAATTAAAAATTAAATTAAATTAAATTAAATTAAATTAAATTCAAAATAAATTATTTTGTGCATTCAATTCTGAAAAGCCGCAGCTGTCTGTACACCAGAAAGCTGCAGATACACCTGAGACCCACTTGAGCTGTCTAGACACCCGTAGAAACAGTTTTGCAACTAAATTAAAAATAAAAACAAATTTAATAAATGAAGAAATAAAAAGAAATTAAATTAAAATAAAAAAGTAAATTAAATTAATTGGTGGAGGTGTAAAAGCAAAGAAAGCACGAGCTGTCTGTACACCCCAACAGCCCAGTTGCAAATGAATTATGATTTGAAGAATTTAATTTAAATAATTTGAATTTAATTTAAATTTAATTTAAATTTAATTTATGTTTATTCAATTTTAAATGTGTTTTACCATTTAAATGAAGATGCAGAAGTAGGACGATGCAAAAAGAAGCAGCAGCAAACTCAAGCTCTTGCTGCTGCTGCTGCTGCTGCTGCTGCTGCTGCTGCTGTTGCTGCTGCATTTTCCGCTGGCATTGTTGCTGCTGCTTTTGCTCTGCCTTCGCTGCTGCTTGCTGCTGCTGCCGCTGCTGCTGCTGCTGCTTACTCCTGCTGCTGCTGCTGCCGCTGCTGCTGCTGCTGCTGCTGCTGCTGCTGGGGTGTCTGTACAGCTGAACGGGCTGCCGCGGCTGATAGAGCAGCCGCAGCAAAGCCTCGACAGCAATCAGTTTTTAAAAAAAGAAAAAGTTTTTGAAGAGTCTTCTTTGTTGACTCAAAGGGCCCCGAAGGGGGCCCTGGCTTTCGCGGGCACCAAGTACTTCAGCGAAGTAGGGTTTAGGGTTTAGGGTTTAGGGTTTAGGGTTTGGCGGCGGCTGTGCGGCTGAGTGGCTGCGGGGTCTTAGGATTTCTGCTGCTGCTGCTGCTGCTGGAGGCAGCAGCAGAGGGTTTGGGGTTTGGCTCGGGTTTGGAAACCCCCGCAGTTTGAGGGTTTAGGGTTAGGGTTTAGGGTTAGGGTTTAGGGTTAGGGTTTAGGGTTTCTCTGCATGCAGCAGCACAAGGGTTTAGGGTTTAGAGCTGCTAGGGTTTGCATGAGCGCGGCTGGCGCAGGCACCATTCGCGAAGATGCTGCAGCTGCAGGCCCTGCGCAGGCAAGCCAAACCCTAAACCCTAAACCCTAAACCCTAAACCCTAAACCCTAAACCCTAATTCGAGGCGGTTTGGGGGTAAAACCCTAACGAGGGTTTAGGGTTTGCGGCGTAGGCTCGAGGAGTGGCAGGCCTGCAGAGCGGACATTGCCAAGCGCTGGGAAGTCGCTGAAACCCTAGGAGAGTGAGGGTTTAGGGTTTAGGGTTTAGGGTTTAGGGTTTAGGGTTTGGCGGGGTTCTTCTGTGCAGAGTTTCAACGCGGGCAGCTGCAGCAAAGCATTTAAGTGATTCTAAAAACATAAAAAGAAACAAATTGAAATATTTATTTTTTGAAACAAATAAAAATAATAAATAAATAAATAAATAAAATAAATAAATAAATAAAAATAATAAATAATGATTAATAAAATAAATGGTAATAGAAGGACGCGGAACAAACAGCAGCAAGACCAGAAGCAGCAGAACTTAAACAACTACAGCAGCAGCAGCAGCAGCAGCTGCTGCTGCTGCTATTGCTGCTGCTGCTGCTATTGCTGCTGCTGTTGTTGCTGCTGTTGCTGCTGCTGCTGCTGCAGCCTCTTCTCCTTTTATAATGCTGCAAGAGCTCCCTTTGAATCCATTGAGGGTTTGGAGCAGCACGAGAGGCTTTTCCAAGACGCAGACTGCAGGTACCTAAACCCTAAACCCTAAACCCTAAACCCTAAACCCTAAACCCTAAACCCTAGAACCCTTTTATGGCGGGCCTTCGCTGCTGCTTTCATTTGCAGGTGCGCTTTGGGTTAAAGCGAGGGCACGGCTAGGGTTTACGGATTAGCTAGACCCTTATTTAGGGTTTAGGGTTTAGCAATACCCTCTTTTAGGGTTTAGCGCTCGGCTAGGCCTTTTTCAGGGTCTAGGGTTTAGGGTTTGGCCCTCCCCCAGTTTACTCAGGCTAACTACGCGTCGAAAACACCACACCTCTAAACCCTAAACCCTAAACCCTAAACCCTAAACCCTAAACCCTAAAACCTTTCAACTGCAGGAGACAAATGGCAGGGCTCCCTAACCCTCGCACCAAACTGCTGGGGCCCTCAGTCCTCACTGAAGAGCAGCAGCAGCAGCAGCAGCAGCAGCTCCTGCTGCAGCAGCAGCAGCAGCAGCAGCAGCTGCTGCACCAGCAACAGCAGCAGCAGCAGTACCGCAAGTACATGCAAGACCACTTGTACTTCAACGACAGGCAAGTCCAAACCCTAGGCAGCAAACCCTAAACCCTAAACCCTAAACCCTCGCGCGGCAGCCGAACTACGGCCTAAAAAGAGGGCCTAGGGTTTAGGGTTTAGGGTTTAGGGTTTGCTGCTGCAGAACCAATGAGCGCATCGACTCCACCTATTCTGTTTCTTTTAAACCCCCCCCAAAAGACTTTTGGCTGCTGCAGCAGCAGCAGCAGCCGCAGCAGCTGCTGCTGCTGCAGCAGCAGCTGCGGGACATGCGCAGATGCACTGTTGCTGCATGCATTGTGGGCGAAAAACTGGGCCACACCTAAACCCTAAACCCTAAACCCTAAACCCTAAACCCTTCAGCTAGTGCTGAGGGTCCTACAGACTGGCGGAACCAGCAACAGCCATTCCTTGCTTCAAGGCCCTGCAGCAAACAAACCCTAAACCCTAAACCCTAAACCCTAAACCCTAAACCCTAGGCCTTCCGTGTGCGCGGCTGAAGACCCACGAAGACTGCTGCGGGTTTCGAGATCAAGACGGGAAACCCTAAACCCTAAACCCTAAACCCTAAACCCTAAACCCTAGCTCACTCTTCTTTTTCTGTAATTTGCTTCAATGCAACATCCACGCACTGCAGCTCGGCCTTGAGCTGCACGCAAACCCTAAACCCTAAACCCTAAACCCTAAACCCTCGAGGGAAGGCGCCGCGCAGACTCAAGGGCCCCGGCCCCCTCAGAAGGGTTTAGGGTTTAGGGTTTAGGGTTTAGGGTTTACTCTTTCTATCAGCAGCTTGTGCTGCTGCACATTTTGCTTCGAAACCTCTTCTTGAGACTTTAGGGTTTTCAATTCTTGCTGCAGCTTTATCCTCTCTTGCAGCTGCGCCATAGACGGCAGCCTGCCCACAAACCCTAAACCCTAAACCCTAAACCCTAAACCCTAAACCCTAAACCCTAAACCCTAAGCCCTTGACTCCCGGCGTCCCGGTTTCGGGCGGCCACCCTCAACCCGTGAGGTAACCCAGAGGAACTCACGTGGGGTTTAGGGTTTAGGGTTTAGGGTTTAGGGTTTACGCCTACTTGGCGCCAACTTGGGGCCCTTTCTCTTCTGCTGCTGCTGCTGCTGCTGCTGCTGCTGCTGCGTGCAGCGCCTCCAGCGACAGCTCTCCCACAGCTTTGTCGAAGCTCGCCTGAACACAAACCCTAAACCCTAAACCCTAAACCCTAAACCCTAAACCCGGGTCTCTGCGCTGCGGCAGCGCCAGGCACACCGCACGGCCCACCCCTCAAACCCTAAACCCTAAACCCTAAACCCTAAACCCTAAACCCTAACCTGAATTCGTATCTGCAGCGCCGCCAGGAAGTCCTCAATTTCCTTTTTAAAGGGCCCGCCCTCAGCGAGCTGCAGCAGCCTGGGGAGCGCGGCAGCAGCAGCTGCGGCCGCGGGAGAAGCAGCAGCAGCAGCAGCAGGAGCAGCAGCAGCAGCAGCAGCAGCAGGAGCAGCAGCAGCAGACTGCAGCAGCGCCAAAACAGCAGCTAATTCGCGAGTCACCGCCAAAGCCAAACTCCGGGGCACAGAACGCGGCGGGGGAAACTGCCAAAGAGTGGACCAGCCCACCAGCGCGTGCTGCAGCGGCGGAATGCTGCTGCTGCTGCTGCTGCTGCTGCTGCTGCTGCTGCTGCTGCTGCTGCTGCTGCTGGTGCTGCTGCTGCTGGTGTCGCTGCTGGTGGGTGCTGCTGCGGCGGCAGCGCCGCCGGGCGCCACGCAGGAGGAGGACAGCATCTTGTTTGGGCGTGGGTGACAGAGCAGCAGCAGCAGCTGCTGCTGCTGCAGCAGCAGCAGCAGCAGCAGCAGCGGGAGATGCAGCAGCAGCTGCTGCTGCTGCCGCAACTGCTGCCGCTCACGTCAAGGGATTGTTACACTAATTGAGCCGCGGTGTACTTTGCACTGCGTCAGCTGCTGCTGCTGCTGCAGGGGATAAATGCTGCAGGAGGGTGTGTCTGCCGCAGCAGCAGCAGCAGCAGCAGCAGCAGCAGCAGCAGCTGCAGCAGGGGGCCGCAGCGGAGCCCTAGGACTTAAAATAACAAGCAATTTATTAATTAGATATAAATACTTAATTTGTTGCAGCAGCTGCTGCTGCAGCGCCATGGGGCTGCTGCAGCAGCACTAGCGTACCGCAGCAGCAGCAGCAGCAGCAGCAGCTTTTTCCTGCTGCAGCAGCTGGCGCTGCCGACAACAGCCACCGCTGCAGCAGCAGGAAGACTAGTGCGCGCTTTAGAAGCAGCAGATGGCAAAAAAATAAGTAAATAAACAGCAGCAGAAGAGTTTATTAATTGATTATTTGTTTTTAGGAGTTGCTGCTGGCAGCAGCAGCAGCAGCAGCAGCAACGCGTGGAAGAAGGCAGGAGCAGCAGCAGCAGCAGCCGTTTTTTCGTGTCGCAGCTGCACGCACCGGCGACAGCGTTTGCTGCTGCTGCTGCAGCAGCAGCAGCAGCAACTATTTTGCAGCAGCAGCAGCAGCACCAGTTGCTGTTTCTTGCCATTGCCCTTCATCTTAACATTTTTTCTGTTACTTAAATTAATTTCCAATTATCTTTTGCTGCTGCAGCAGCAAGGGGCCACGAGCGTCGACTCTAGCAGCAGCAGCGCCGCAAAGCAGCAGCAGCAGAAGCAGCAGCAGCAGCAGCAGCAACAGCAGCATCGTTCTTTTGCACCGCTAGAGCAGCACGAGCGGCAGCAGGGAGCAGCAGCAGCAGCAGCAGCAGCAGCAGCACGAGCAGCAGCACTGCAGCAGCCACAAGTGCAGCAACAACAGCACACCGTGCCCTCTGCAGACGCAGTCTGCTGTTTTAGCAGCAGCAGGAGCTGCTGCAGGCCAGCTTGCTGCAGCAGAAGCAGAAGCAGCAGCAGCAGCAGCAGCAGCTGGCTGCGAGTTTGCCGCAGCTACAACAGTCACAGCAGCAGCAGCAGCAGCAGCAGCAGCGGCTGCAGCTGCTCGCTGCAACGCACCACGCATGGCTGCTATCCAAATGCTGCTGCAGCGGCAACAGCAGCAGCAGCAGCAGCAGCACTAGCAGCAGCAGCACTAGCAGCAGCAGCAGCAGAGCTTGATGCTGTAGAGGCCATGCAGCAGCCAGCTCTTGTTGATGGGCTCGCTGCAGCCAAAGCAGCAGCAGCAGCAGCAGCAGCAGTGGCTCCAGCAGCAGCAGCGCCAGCAGCAGCAGCACCAGCTGTAGCGGCTTCAAACGCAGCGAATGCAGCAGAAGCAGCAGCAGCAGCAGCACTAGCAGCAGCGCCAGGAGTAGCAGCTCCCGCAGCAGCAGCAGCAGCAACTCCCGCTGCTGCAGCAGCAGCAGCGCCTGCAGCGGTAACAGCAGCAGCAGCAGCAGCAGCTGCACCGGCGAGGATGGCAGCCGCTGCTGCAGCATTTGCAGCAGCGGCACCGGCCAAGGAAACGTCAGCTGCTGCAGCAGCAGCAGCTGCAGCAGCAGCAGCGACCGGAGCAGCAGCTGCTGCTTCTCCCCACTCAACATCTGTGTCTCCCTTTGCAGCAGCAGCAGCAGCAGCAGAAGCAGCTGCTGCTTCTGCTGCGGCTTCCCCCTCGAACAGCTTCGAGAGGGAGCCCGCAAACAACGCCCACAGCAGCAGCAGCAGCAGCAGCAGCAGCAGCAGCAGCAGCAGCAGCAGCAGCAGCAGCAGCAGCAG